ATGGACCCCCACACCCCTTCCTGTTTACATAGTCACTGCCATCCAGTCAGTTTTCTGTGGAATCCTATAAATTCTTCCATCTCTATGATGAATAAAAATGATCATAAATATCAGAGGTTCTATTTTCTCCACCTCTGGTTCTGTAGAACATCCACCTGGCTCTGGTCCAGTCAGTCTCAGTTATCAGGATGGTTCCATGAATACTATATTAAACCATCTGAAGGAGAACAGGTGACCCTCACCTCCCACCCACTGCCTCTGTCTTCTTCTATGGTTTTATTCTCAGGCAGAGCTCAGGCTGCCTTTGGTCCACAGGTAGGAGGATCTTCATGCAGTTTTTAATGAAGCTAAAGGTCTGAATAACCTCCACTGTAGGAACATCACAGCTGACCTGACAGGGATTCATCTGCTCACCCAGCATTGTTCTCTTTCAGAGGAAATAATCCCTGTGATAAGCTCTACCTATTCATTTCTTCAGTAGTCGAGTATTCAGAAACAGGCTGTTCTCTCTGAACCAGTCAGTAAATAATCAGCATGTCCAAAGAAAGCAGAGGGTTAGGGTGAATCACTGACCGTCCTTTTTTGCATCACTTTTTATGGATGTTTTCTTCATGTTTCTATGAATAAACGGTTCAGAGAATCAACCTGTGGCTGTGATTGATTTCCCTGCATCACTGAGGTCCAGAACCAGAACCAGAAACATCTCTGAGGTACAGAACCACAGAAACAGACCAATGATTTCATACTGGAACAAAAACTAAAGCCAAACAGCAGGACAGAGGAACTGACCAAGACCTGAATTAGTCTGTCTGCTGATGATCAAAGATCAGGTGACCAGTATCAGCAGCAGGGTTACCATGGTAACGGTGCAGGATGGAGGAAGAGGCTTCACTGCATAATAAAAACATAATATCTGATGATCTTATCTTATCTGATGTAGAGCCTGATGACATCATCCAGGTGACCAGTGTTGGTGTAATTACTCTCTGAACCAGCAGGGGGAGACAATGATCCACTGGTTCAGGTTTAATGTCTGAGGTTTCAGTGATCCTGAAGGTTCTGATGATCAAAACCAGACAGAGTCACAATCCAGTTTTCATAAGGAATTTATTTCAATAGTTGAATTTTATTAATAACTAATTTATGTTATTTTACAGCAGGTTGGTAAACCAGCAGCCCTCTCTGGTCCCAGAGGGTCAAACATCCTCTGACCCGGCCCACCAGCAGGACCAGCTAAGGAGTTCAGAGTTCTGGACCCAGCTGGGCGGGTCATCCTAGCATGGGTATATTTACTGCTTCCCCTCCGGCCCATGACCTCATGAAGCAGGTAAACCATCCAGAACCCAGTCTCTATGGGTGGATGTGGAACGTTGAACTCTGGGAAATGTAGTCCTGTAGAAAACTATTGTAGGCCGGACCGCAGAGAGGTGCAGATATTGGAGTTTAGATTGACTGGGATATTTAACATCAGGGCTGGAATCAAACAGAGTCCTTCAGCCCAAAGAGAACGGCATTATGGGAGTTTGAGTCCAAATGGATTCTGGTAGGAGCCGAAGGATAGCAGAGGAGGACTGGGGTTCTGTAGTCCAAAGAAAAGGTATTTAGGTGCTGTAGTCCAATCAGATGAGG